TGACGAACACAGGAAACTACTATCCCGGCCGTGCAGCTAAAGCCCATGTACTATGCGATGTCACTGCACATGAGATAACTCCAGATAGTTGAAAATATCTACTTCAGCATGGCTCATAATCATATTATGGTTTGGTGCGTAAAATCCCAGATATTATTATTATTAAGAACGATCAGCCTCGGTGGAACAGTGGCTAGGGTGCTTGGCTGCTGACCCCAAGGTCGCGGGTTCGATCCTGTCCGCAGCATTTAGATGAAGGCAAAAAGGCTTGAGGCTCGTGTGCTGTGTGATGTCAGTGCTCAGAACACCAGATGGTGCAAATTTCAGAAGGCCTCCACTACGGCGTTTCTCACAATCATATCGTGGTTTTGGGATGTAAAACCACACATAAGATCAAGAATGAAGAGTTGTACTTATATCGTTCATTCACTGCGATTTACTTCTTTACGGGCTAATTCAAGCCCAGCGAAATTCAAATTTGCGCCTGAATACGGACGAGAGTGCACTATATATGTAGATTGTGAGGTATTTTGGAGACATGGGCACGCTGGCGAAAAACTACTGGAGCACGCCTAACGATATTTTCAGCAGCAAAAAACTACGTTGTCTAAAAAAAAAGGAATGTATATGTATGACGTCAGACCAGTACCCTACATGAAGTGAAGCAATATCTGATATGCTTGCGGCAGGCGCATATCCAGAATGTTTTTCGGAGAGGGGGTGGGGGCTTAATTTTTGAGAGGGCATTCCCATCCAATGGTCATCTTTCCCTCTCTATGCCATGGCAGAAAAAAATGCTGAAGGGGAGCACAGGCTCGGTGTAGCGCTCCCTGTCTTGCGGTAATATGTCAAAGTCAATCATGTGTAACTAATTAGCCCGACAGTTGTTTATTTAAAGGTAGATAGTTCTCCGTACATGCACTCCATTAGATGCACACAGCAAGTTTGGCTGTCCAATTGAAGCAATTAAGGAAGCACAAGATTCTCATCTTCATCTCGCTCATACGACAACTCAACATTGCATCGATAATGTTAGTGGGAATAATTAAAACAAAGTGGCTCTGAATTCTTTGTCAACTAAATAGCTGAGGGTAATGTGTATTTTATTTATAAAGATACTGCGCATATTTATTAGTTCGTCAGGACGCATTTATTTCGCCGACATATATTTGGGTATAGTATGAATCGTACAATGATCAGTAATTATTATTTTTATAAAGGTATACTGAGCGTCTTTATGTGCGTGTAGTGACCTATGTATTTATTCCCGCTACATTTATGTAGGCATAATGTGAATCAGACAGTTATAAGTCAACATTTTTTGTAAAGAGTCACATATCAAAATTTATCACTCAAATGTTGCAAGATGTGACAAACTTAGGACTTAGCGGAAAAGTGGTTTTCAAAAATGTCTGAGTATAATTTCTACCCAGATGCTTACACCCAGTTGGCGAGGAATAGACTCAGTAGCTTCTCCATAACAGCAGTATGGAAAAACAAAACAGCATCGCATGCTGACCCAACGACGGCAAGATACGACTGTCACAAAATAGGGAGGATGAGTGAGATTACACCTTCGCAGGACGCGGTGCAAGTGCCACTACTTCACCGTGAGCAGCGCCCTCACCCCCCGTCGTGGCCAGTCAGTCAACTTTTCCTTTCACACACGCTCTTTTGTTCGGAAAACGACTTGGCAGGCCGCACCAAGGGGAACATTGAGTGACCATGGCAAAGAAATGTTCTCTGCTCGATTTCAAGCTAGTCTTGTCTGCCCTTCACACTCCAACGATTCTGTCAATTATGTGGGTGGAACACCACTTTCACCACAGACACTACATGTGCCTAAAAAGGCGGCAATGAAGTCAAGGCACTAACGGTGACATTGTCCAATCAAGCTCTCTGCAATCAGTATGTTTGCTCGTGCAGAGACATCCCCAATAATGAATAATTGCTACCACGACTACACAAATTTGTTGCTCCACATACTTGTGTGGAAGTTTGTGCGAATGTGAGTCGGTGTAAGGCTGATAGTAGTATTGAAAGGTGAATAGATAGGACCATAGGTCGCCCCGCCGCGGTGGTCTAGTGGCTAAGGTAGTCAGCTGCTGACCCGTAGTTCGCGGGATCAAATCCCGGCTGTGGCGGCTGCATTTCCGATGAAGGCGGAAATGTTGTAGGTCTGTGTGCTCAGATTTGGGTGCACGTTAAAGAACCCCAGGTGGTCAAAATTTCCGGAGTCCTCCACTACAGCGTCTCTCATAATCACATGGTGGTTTTGGGACGTTAAACCCCACAAATCAATCAATCAATCAACCATAGGTCAGCAATAAAAGGTGGAGCTCACTCACTCACTCCAGAAATATATTTTGCACTTACACCTGACACAGACTTGCCAATGTTTCACTGAACGAGACTCACTTGAACTCACCAAAATATTACTCACCCAGGCTCAGACTCCTCGCCAAATCTGAGTCTGAACAAGTATGAGTAAGTCAACTCACGTGTGAGTTCGCCATTTTATGAGAATTAATTCGTGTCATCCACACTGCTTAGCCGTGACTCACGGGGAGCTGTGTTGAAGAGAGTGACGCAAGACTTGATCAGCTATGGCTACCTCTGTAAGTTCATAAAAACTTGAGAAAGGCCGACGGGGACAATGACGACAAACAGGTGTTTTCTCTACCGTAAGCACAAGGCATGAGCAAGTCACTCCCAAGCATATTCCGAGAGTACGAACCACAGGCCTGCCGCATTCCTTCAAGAAGACACAAACTCGTTCACAAATCAAAGAATTCATAATGAAATAATTGGATGCGCAAACCAATGGGACACAAGAGAAGAGACAAAGTGTCCCAATGGTTTGCGCATCCAATTATTTCATAATGAATTTGTACCAACTAGCCCGCCTGTCAGCCCTTCTGCAATCAAAGAATGCCTAGAAAAGGAAGGATACTCTGATGTCTGCAAAATTCCGTGCGGACTGCCAGGCGAGACAAGTAAATTTAAGAGAAGGCTGTAATGATGCAGCCAAAGGACACATAATTTCCAATGCCCTGGCAGAGCAACAGGAAGAAACTGGGCACTATTGACTGGCAATCAACTTCCATAAGCTACTACTAGCAAGATAAGTTGGGCATGGGGCCCACTCCCTGGGGCATATGCAAGTGAACTACGTTTTTCAACACATGTATAAACAAGACTGCCATGCATTCGATCACTGTAAACAAGGTACCCATATTGGGCACTGAAGTGTCACATCTATTGTTTTGTATTTTATTTTTGCTGGCAAGTGCATGCTTTCTTTGGCAATGCTCTTTCCTTGCCAAACGAGTTTTCGTCAGACCCTACACTTTAGGTTATCCTCTTTATGTACCAGTAATCTTGCTTACTGAAAACTTACTCTCAGTAAACTTGTACAGAATAGATTTAGCATTACCAATGCTTCTGTGAGGTTTGTTCAAGTGAGAACTCTACACAGAACCATCAAATATGAGAACATTGCACAGTTCGCACCTGGCCAGCTTGAGAAGAACCAGCTCTGAGAGAAATATGCTAGACTTGAAACTTAGTGAAAAACAATGAAATACTTGCTGCATCACAATATATCGACACACTAAGTAAACTTGCAGCCACCTACCTTCCAACATTTCTCCATGAACTGTGTTCGCATACAGTTTGAAGAAAAGGAGTTTGAGATGCAGTCATCAGGCACGTGGTTATGCACTAGTGAGCACATGGTTCACGCCATTAAGGTTATTAAAACTAGTGTGAATATGTGCATTTCAGGCATGAATCCAGCAAACACTATGCCTGGTTCTTTCACGACAAACCGGGGGTACTACAGCAATATGTAGAGTAATTAGTGGCTGAATTGATTCTTGTGAAGCCTAGGAGAACATATCTGTGCTACTTAATAGAACAGTGAATATTAAATGACAGATAACTGCAGCTATGACAAAAACAGGGCCCATAAACATGTTGTTATTATACACCTTGATATTCACTATGGCGACAAAATGACGTTGAACTAGCCCTTCGGTTTCGAGTAAGTGCTTACAGCGAATCTTTCCCGTGTGCATTCGAAATGAAATGAGTGAATGGTGGCCACTGTGGGAACTAACACAATGCAGCTGTGTTTTCCGGTAAAAACCGAAACCAACAATATTATTCAAAGTAGTTCTAACGATAAAATTACACTGACATAAGAACGCAGAGTAACACTGCTCGCTGCAATTTCCTCGAGAGGTCTGCAAAGGCTCGGAATTTCGGAACAACTGCACGTTTTAGTGCTGCTAGACCCCTCTCGGTTTACTTCAGCAAACAAGCACGCGAGGGGCTGCCAGCGGGACAGAGCCAGCTATTCGGAAAGCGTGGTCGCCTGGCGTGCACACGCACAATGCGGACGCCGATCGATGCAGAGGGATTCTTTGCGGAAAGGGGAAGAGCCCGTCCCCATTGGCCCCGAAAGACGCAAGGATAGTAAACACATCGCGGCGCCAGATAGCAGCGGTGCTTACGCTACACCCGCACTTATCAAATGCCGCAACAAAATGCGACGTCAGCTGCTGGCCAGGATCGCAGAACGCGGAGTTCCCATGTGGCGATGCCGCACGAAAGAGAAACTGGAGTGGGACAGCGAACGAAAAACAAACGGAGCATCCACGCTTTTAGATTATTCGTAAGTCGTCTCGAGATACGGAAGGAACAGATTTCTGGTTATTTACGTCGAGCATTTCATTGCAAAATCGAACGATGGCTTGCTCAGCGCTGGAGATACTGAGAGGAAAAACATTTGCACTCATAACGACAGGTAGAAATTGGGAAGGAAACAGTATTCGGACGTCATCTAAAAGCAATAACTCCTTTGAAGAAAACGTGGAATGCACATTACGTAAAACGTCGACATCGCTGCGGCACTACTCGCAGCGACGCCTAAGGTCTCCCAGGCGCGGCCGAAATAAAGCGAGGGCATACCCGAAAAGACAACAGTACGCTCTTACCTAGCACGGTTCCTGAGAAGGCAGATTCCTGTAGTATCCGCCGGAAAAGGGTTTTCCCAGGGAGACAAATAAAACCGCACACAATTTTTAAATGGCCGACGCAACGCTGGCAGGCACCAGAAGCCGGCCGAGCTGCGAGAGGAGGAAAATTCGGAAGAGAACCGGGCGATGGCGATTCCGCTGGCTGGGCGCTTACCCTTGTTTCGCTTTCGCCTCGGTCAGGCACGCGAAGGAGAGCGCGAAACCAATCCATACAGTAACACGGCCGCTAGATGTGGGGACCATGACCGTAGTATCGTTGTAGTGGTATCCCGGTCGCGCCCGACGACAGCAGCCGTTTGTTAACGCTAGTGTTGCAACACCCCGCGAGGCTGCGACTGAGCTCTTGCCCCGAGTCTTGGGAAATAGAAATCATTATTCAGCTCCAGAAAGTTGCCTGCCAACGCAGAGCGGAAAAACGCGCTGCGGCCAGAAAGATTGAACTACGCATTTTAAATGTAGATCACGATAGCGTAACCCAACTCTGAGCGTAACCGGGTCCCGTGCGCATGGCGTGCCGTAAGGCAAACGACTGAGTGTCTCAAGAGGGTTAGCAGCTAGCATAGAGTTCATACAATAATTGTAATAATTGTATGAAACTCTATGGCAGCTAGCGATTCCGCTGAAGGCTAGCGGGGCCGTCTGAATGGGTTTTTAGGGGCGAAGCTCCCGTCTTCGGACTCCTGCGACCGTGGCCATCTTTCTTATCTCCTCTTTACTTCCGTCGTTTGCTGTCATTCGCTGTCCCTGCGCCTCACTTTCTCCTTCCTCTATCTATTATTTACCTTTTAATCCTATCTTTTTAATCCCTCCCTACCAGCAGTGGCCGATGACCGATGATTGGAAAGAGTTTGGATACCCATCGGCTTCCATTAACATTGGCCATTGCCCGGATGCGAGTTTACAAAGGCGAGCAGATAGACCCACCCGCAATGCACTGCGCCAGGCGCTCTTACGAGGTTCTCGGAAGCTGCGCGCTCATTGGTTCGTGCGTGATGCCGTCAGCAAACATGGCTGCGCCCATAACGATGCCGCAGGCAGCTGCCAGGCAACGGACAGCGTGACAGAAAAGGGCACGGCCTACAAGCAAAATATGGGCTAGGTGGTAGTGAAAGCCTCTAATCTTTTTTAAAACTGTGCGCTTCTCTTAGTTGTTGGCCCTTCTCAGTAATTAGAACACAACAATAGTTTTGGAAAATACTTGTGATGTTTAACATGGGGGCTAAAGGCTTTCTGACACATACCATGTTTGCCGGCCAATGCTCACAGAATTAGCCTGTTCATCAAGCCTACTTTCTTTTGTGTATTATATACTATCAACGAAAATTTGTGGCCTGTGAACACGTACAAGCAGTAAAAAAGTGAAGCGGTTAGAGCGGATGTATCCGTTTCTTTTGTGCGCTTTCTCGTGAATCCTTACCCCCATCCCTCGTGAGCTACTGTTGAGGTGTCGCACTATGATGCAGAAAGTTACGGGGCTCACCTTACTCTTTAAGAATCACATAAAGGGCGATGCTCCTAGAGCGTAGGTCTGTTCATCCCTTGTATGTACTTGACCGCCTATAGCTCCGTCTTTGCAAATTGCCCACTACTTCGTCCTTGCTAACATCCCACTACGCCCCATCACTGATCCACCACTTCACCGGCCACGAAGCAAATACTGTTGAGAAGTAGCCAATATGAAATGCAATATGGTCGTGTACTTGTATCCAGGTGCGCGTTAAAGAACCACAGATTGTCCCACTGTGTCCATCCCTTTGTGTGTACGTAACCGCTTATAGTTCAACCTTAGTATAGTTCCACCTGAGCAAACCGCCCACTACTTCATGCTGGCAAACATCCCACTATGCCCCATCACCGATCCACCACTTCACCGACCATAAAGTCGTTATTTCTTTTTTTATTCGGAACAATACCCGCAGCACCATCTTAGGCTTTATTTGGGGGGGGGGGGGGGGCAATGCCTCATAGAATGAATCCGCAGTCTTGAGGCCATCTAAATCGGCTGGTAACATATTCCATTCGACAATGGCTTGCGGAAAAAAAAAAGAAGGCTTAATCAGTCCTGGGGTTGTATGACCGTACTTTAAATTTGTGGTCACGACGAGAGGATTGGTCATGTGCTGGTTTTAAATATTCTGAAGAATTAATGGCTGTTTTCTAGTTAAACATTGAATAAAATAGTTTCAATTTTAGATTACGTCTTCGATTCGCAAGTATTGTCAATGAAATTCTCTTTTCATACGTTAGAAGCTTTCAGCTCGGTCATATTTTCTTAAAACAAATCTTGCTGCTGTCGACTAAATGCGCTCTAGTGCACGCATATGTACTTTGTGAAACTGATCCCACACAGGACAGGCGTATTCCAGTATTGGTCTGACATAGACATAATATGCGGCCTGTTTAACCTCCTTGGTTACATGTTTAAAATTTTTTTGTAGTAAGCCTAGGGCTTTTCCAGCTGTACTGAGAACACTGCCAATGTGTTCAGACAATCCCCCATCCTCAGAAAACGTGACACCCAAGTACTTATATGTGTGTTCACTTTTAATAACTTCATTGTTTAAGATGTACTGATTTGTGAACCTGTTGACCCTTTTAGTAAAACTGACGTGAACGCATTTATTATTGTTTAGTACCATGTCAATATTTTTACACCGTACATCCACGTGATTAAGGTCATCTTGAAGCTGGGTGGAATCCGTTTGGTTGGTCAGTTCAGTATACAACACACAGTCATCAGCAAACATTCTAATGTGACACTTAATTGTATCCGAAGTATCATTAATAAACACAAGAAACAGAAGGGGGAACGGAAGCGACGTATATCTACCTATTACGAATAATAGATTTCATTGTATAATGGAGTTTATTTGGAGTTCGGCAGCAGCGCAGAGAAGCGACAAAAGAGCTAAAAATTTCACTGCAATCTTGCAGGAAAGTACCGTGCCTGGGGCTGACCCAAACGGAAGGCGCCGTGCGCATCCTCCCGGACTGGTTGCAATATCAACTGTGTAAAAGGATTACCACTAGTCATCGACACGTGCCTGAGGAGTCTCCGAGAGGTGGCGCGGCTGCTCACATCGTCGGCTACAAATACCGCATCGTCGGCGGCCTCGCATCAGTTCGGCAGCAGCGGAAAGAAGCGACAAAAGGGCTAAAAATTTCACTGCAATCTTGTAGTAAGAACTGTTGAAAGTTCTACATGTAATAGTTTAGATCTAGAATCGAGCTGCTGCCGAGCATTCTGCGTTATGTTTATACGTGCTACCTTTGAACCTGAGTGACTTGCACGTGAACTGATCTCAATTTTAAATCTGTAGAAATGAGTAAGGATCGGAGGGACAGGGATAAAGAAAGTGAGTTTGCTGCCACTTTGGATGATTTCAAACGAGAGCTGCGTATCGAATTGAGAGGGTTGAAACAATCAATTCACTACTGCAGTGACACCTGCGATGAAGTGAAAGAACTAAGAAATAAAGGAACTTCGCACTGAGATGAAGGACATTACTAGCCATGAATAAAAAAACTAGAAGCAGAAAATAAGCAATTAAAACTTCAGATTCAAGAAATGGAACAATATCAAAGGGGCAGCAATCTCGAGATAAAGGGTGTGTCGCACGAGCTTGACCCGTTGACTGCCTTACATAGGATATGCCAATTTTTGAGTGTGAAAGTTCGTGAAGACGATATTGATGTATGTCATCACGTGCCTACTAAGGACCCAGAAAAAAAGAACATCGTTGTACGCTTTGTAAGACGCTCTGTGAAGGAGAAAGTACTTAAGAAAGCTAAAAAGTGAGAGTTTCCGGAAAGGATATTGGCCAGAGAGACACAAAAATACCAATATATGTCAATGAACATTTATCTCGACAGAACAAGCAGTTGCTTGCCGCTACACTCACTAAAAAGCATGAACTCGGTTGGAAATTCGCATGGACAGCCGGAGGAAAGGTACTTTCCCGGAAAGATGAGCACAGTGAGGTCATATGAATTGTGAGTCAAGATGACATCGCAAAGATGGTTTAAGAATTATAAGATCACCAAAAAAAAAAATGGTCATGGATGGTTGCGTGGTACAATCACCGCAAACATATAAGGCGACTCACGAGGCACTGCAAACGGGCTTCTCATTCTTTCATTTGAACACAATAATAGTTAGAAACAAACATGGTAGCTTGCAGACATACTTGGAATCACTAGGAACTCAGTTCGACGCTGTTGTATTTTTTGAAACCTGGCTCACGAAAAATGATACTGCTCCCGTTCTTGGTGCTTACACGTGCGAACGACTCGGCAGATTAGAAGGGGTGGTGGTTTGGCAATATACCTCAAAGAAGGTTACAGCTATGACGTTATAGATGATTACACTGTTTCAAATACCAACATAGAATGCCTTACGCTTTGCACAACACAATTTCAGATAGCTGCTATTTATAGGCGACCAACTGGCTTAAAGCGTTATTTTTTCAACTACATGGAAAATTTCCTGAACTTTTTTGCATCTCAAAGCACTCCTTTCTTTATCGTAGGCGATATAAACATTAACACAATGAGTGATGAAACATATGCTACTGATTTCAAGAATTTAATTGATGGTTATGACTCGCAAAACGTCATTGACGTGCCAACACACATAGGGGTAAACAGTACAAGCTGCATAGACGTCTGCGTTAACAATGTAAAAAGAGAGCAACTCAGCTCAAGCGTGATTACCTGTGACATAAGTGATCACCTACCACAGTATTGCGTCATGACTAAAGCTTTCTCGAAGAAAACTAAAATCGCTAAGTTGTTCAGGCAAATAAACAGTAGATCTATCGATGCTTTCCGTGAATTGATTCAGTCTACTCAGCAGTCCAGTGTATATTTACAGAGCGATCCAAACACAGCATACGACATGTTTTCGTTTGAATTCAAACGCTGCTATGACAATTCATTCCCTCTAAAGCTTTGCAAGACACCAAAAGGGGCGATAAGAAAACCTTGGGTTACTCATGCTCTACACCACAGAATAAAAGAGGAAAATAAAATGTATCACGCTTTTGTGGTTTGTAGAAACACTTAACTTTTTTAAGAGTACAAGAAGGTGCGAAACAAGCTTAACTCAGACCAAAAA